TCATTTTGGCACTTTGTTACCAATCCAACCCGATATGGCAACAATGGTAATACAGAAAGGGGCTGTGTACGGATCCACTTGGGATTCCATAATCCAAACCCCAAGCATATTGCAAGACTTCAAGATACTGTAATTCATTTATTCAATTAATAAAATCTTTAAAATTAAGCCTCCGCGACTTCGTGCGCGTGTTAGGGTTTTTATGTTTTCGCGCGGAACCCTAATTCTTTTTCTAAAATAAAATATATAGCCTAAGTTACTCCTTATGAAATCATCTATCTACCAGTGAAAGTCCCGTCAAAAAACGGTTCAGCCGTTTCGGAGATTAGCCGGGACAAACAGACAGACAGACAGACAAAAATTTGAAAAATTGTATTTAGTTATAAGTACCGTATTTACTTTCATATGCATTTAGTAAAAAACTATAATTTTGACATTATAAACAGACACTTCAATTTTATTTATATGTATTTTATAAATGATAAGTCAGTCAATTACCTATATTCTGAGTATGGAGGTTGAAACACTGTACCGTAACACAGGGTGTCCTAGCACAGGTTTCGCGCTCCCACTATGGGCATCAGTAGTAGTGTTTAGTTTAAAATCGCTAATACACTACGCTGTCATATGAGCCATTGTAATTGGAAATAAACGATTATTTATTATTATTATTATTAATTAAATAAAAAATGATTATAGAAATAGCATCCTACTCCGCCATTAAACTGCCACTAATTAATTATCTTATTTTTTTTCTCTAAGCAAGGTAAATATAAATGTATAAGAATGATTGAAGAGCAACTCTTTTTTAGTCATCCTTATCTGCTAACCTTCAGGAGTGAGAACGCATCTGCATTTGCACTTTATCAAAGAACTAGCGATCAGCCGCGGCTTCGCACGTTTGATTTCTTGATCTCGACAACAACGCCACCTACCTGGTCCAATTGTGAATCTAAACCTCTTCTTCTCTCTAATCAACGTAATCACACACAAAATTTCATCAAAATCGGTCCAGCCGTTTAGGAGGAGTTCAATTACATTCTTAAACACGGAAAGAAGAATTATATAATACTAGCTGACCTGGACAAACGTTCTTTTGCCACATACATTAAAAATCGCGATTAAAAATCAGGGGTTGATAGTAGAAAGGTGAAAATTTGAAGTTTTATGTATTTTTCAATGCTAAATCATAATAAAATAAAAATAAAAAAATTTGACAAAAAAATAAAATAAACTATTTAGGGGTGGTCATCCTTATCATTTAGGGGTTTGAAAAATAGATATTGGCCGATTCTCAGACATACCCGATATGCACACAAAATTTCATACAAATCGGTGGAGCCGTTTCGGAGGAGTTTGGTAACAAACACAGCGACATGAAAATTTTATATATTAGAAAATATAATATGCATGTATTATACATATAATCGTTCGTCTTGAATCATTCTGTCTATTGACCGAATGGTTCAAGAAGCATCCGCATCCGTTGCGTAGTTTAAAAGATATAAGAGTGCAGACGGCGGGATGCGACTTTGTTTTATACTATGAACTAAAGATGTAGGAGTCTGTGGAGCACATTTAACTTAGTCTGTGTGCTCGTTTGCCTTTCTTTTAGTGGTGTAGCATGGTTTGCTACCGTCCGAGGTCACTACTCATCACATCCATCGTCTAACTACCTCATTAAACCGCAATTCCCGTGGGAACAGGCCCCCACTAGATGGAGAGGCGACTTCGGTTAACGACGCGAGGCTACCACTCCAGGACCTTTATCCCATCCGTTGTCTGTTCTTCGAGCTATATGGCCGGTCCATTCCCACTTCAGGTTAATGATCCTTTGGTTTATGTCAATTACTCTTATTACGGTTTTTATCCCGCAAAGAAACTCCTGGGATGAAGTGTTTAATGTAATTAAGTATTTAGACAACATTGAGATTGTGATAGTCCTGAGTCTGCACAAAAGTTTAAAAAAAAACTTTAATAAAAAGTATAGCCGTCTTGAAAGAACTAAAAAGAATAAAGTAATTTCATATTCTGAAGTCCTCTTCTTCTTCTTTTTCTTTTTTACTTTATGGCTTCTCTTAATAGAATTCTGCCAATGTCAAGTCAGTCATGATAGTAACGTAACGTAAATAAAATCTTGTTTTTTATAACTTTTTTGTGATAGGATTCTAATCTCAACAAAAGACAACAGAAACTTTTAAAATCCTGTCACAAACAATAATCAGTATTATGTTATAACTTAATATTATTAGTATAGATAAAACCACAGAAAATATGAACAAATGAGGAGAACACGCGAGACATTATGAAGTCGCAGTAAACTAGTCAGAGAGTCGCGGTTTTAAGTCATATAAATAAAATGTTTTAGGAATGACTTCAAAATTTGAATTTTTTTTTAAATTCTTTGAAGCATAGACTGAAAATATAGAGGCGTAAGTACGCATAAGTATATTCTAAGTCACCTATTATTTTTTATTAAAAGTTATTATTATCTACTTTTTTTATAAACTCGATTTGTTTATGTTCCGGTCGAATTTAGTAATTGATTTTAAATTAACTTAGCTGACGAGCTAGAGACTTGAAATTAGCTCAGATTCCGATGACAATGCAAGAGTATTAAAAACAACTTCCAAGTAGTACGACTCTCAATCATGGAAATTTGAGACAAGTATAATCTGTAACTTGCTTATAGCCTGGGAAAATTAAGGAAATCAGACCAAATAATTCATGTAGTTTTAAAAGTTGGTACAGTTATTCCTTAAGGTGTCCAGATGAATATGCTAAAAGTCCCCGAGAGAGGGATACGAGCCGGCGGTGGGGGAGGGGGAGAAAGGTCGCTTTTTCAAGTTTTTTGCAAGTGAATCGAAAACTAATAACAATATCTCTTTAGTGACTTGTCTCTCCCTCGGGGACTTTTAGTATATTCATCTGGACACCTTAAGGAATAACTGTATGAACTTTCAAAACTACAGGAATTATTTGGTCAGATCGACAATTTTGAAGCAAATTTTCTTGTACTATTATAATTGTACCGGCAATTACCATCGCGTGTATGATTAATATTACAGACGCTTTCGTAATTATAATGTAACAATTACTCGTATTACGAGAGGCTGCGACTGTACCGATAGTACAACCGTCAACACAAGTATCTGTTACAAGGTCGAATCAGTACAGAGCAATGAGTACGCCACGATATTTGTTAACAATTTTGTAATTCAAAAATTAAAAAGTAATGTAAGAATGCAATGCAGCTGCAATCCCTTATTAGGGCATACACCCCTAGTAAAATTTTAGGTCTTAGTGTTATATCTTCTCGTCATTTTAAGCTTAGTCCTACATTTTTAGTCCTAGAGCTATAAGTACATGGTAGTCAAGCTGCAGCTGTATTGTGGTTGTACCACCAATGGATTAGCTCGACCGGGAAAGGACTGGTATTCTGTAAGAGTTTAATGTGTTTCGTATGGTTAGTGTACAGAACCAGAAACCCTTTCAACTGGAAACGAGACATCTCTTCTTGGTTCGCAGGGGTGACAACGCATCTGCATTTTGACCGAGGATAGATGTAGATGTTCATGGGCCACAAACCCCACACACCATCATGTGGTCTGTGTGCTCGTTTGTCACCGGTATCACAGGACAGGATTATAGCACGAGCATGTGCGCAAACATAAGTGAATTTTCTATTCGCTTCCTCTCATAGTCCGATGGAACTGCAATCCGAAACGACCAAAAAGAGATCAGGCGCAAAATAAACGGATTTACGTGCTTTCCGAGGCACGGGTATAAAACACCACTAACATCCTAACTCCGGACTGCTACTAAACACTTCTTTACAGAAAACCCCAATAGCAAATTTTAGCCTGACCCGGGATTCGAACCCGGCACCTTATAATCAGCAGCCGCGCTTGCAACCACTAGACCAACGAGTGCAGTCCAAGCAGTTAATATATAATTTGCAGCCAATGAACTTTACGGCCGACCTTCGCAAAAACAACGTCTGTACATGGCTGTAGTAAACAGCGGGACGATACCATATAGAGGTGCAAATGTGAAGGTTGCATTGTGCAGTCTTCGTTTGGAGTCGCGTGCCACATACAAAGTTGTTTAATGAGTCAGATATGTTTTGTTCTTTTGTAATTTTACGGTTATTGTTTTTAAATAATTGTTTTTACGGATATTAAACGTGGTAGAGCCATGCTGCAACTATATTATGGTTGTAGCACGAATGGGTCGGCTCGACCGGGGAAGGACCACGCTCTCACAGAATATCAGCGTAAAATAGCAGCTTAACGCTGTTGTGTTTCGTTTGGTGAGTGTAGAGAACCGGAGACCCTTTTTACTGGAAACGAGGCATTCCATCTTAGTCCTCACGGGTGACAACGCATCTGCATTTTGATTCTTAATCGAAGATAGATGTAGATGTCTATGGGCCACAGCAACCACTTACCATCAGGTGGACTGTGTGATCGTTTGTCACTCTTATCCTATAAAAAAAATTAAACTTAAATTAAAGTTAAAGTTACAGCCTATATACGTCCAACAGCTGGGCACAGGCCTCCTCCGATTTCTGAGAGGGTTTTTAGGGCAAGGAAGTGTCCGCCGCGCTGGTCCAATGCGTGTTGGCGAACTTCACGTGTCTTCTAAATATTTTTTTCTTATTGTTTAGACAGGTTTTTGCAGGTTTCCTCACGATGTTTTCCATCACCGCCGTACACGTGGTAAATCAGCACTTAAAATTACAATCAACAATTACATTGGTGCCGGCGGGGATCTAGTAACATGCTAGTTCGCGCGTCGTTTTTGATGCAACTACTGTTTCTGTGTTAGGGCTGCGTAACATATTCATAAACAATCCTAAATTCAAAACAACCAAACAAAATGTTGCAATGAGAGCAGTAATTTCAACAGTTTTAACGAAAGTCTCGTGTGGCGTTGCAAACTAAACCGGTTCGCTTCATAAAGCCCAGTGTTGCAAAGTAACGTATCGCTTGTTGCAGCGGAAGATTTCACGAAATGTCGGCAAAAGGACGCCAAGTTGAACGACTGCCTCAAGAGCGCGGTGCCTGATGCCCTCAGACGAATGAAAAAAGGTAATGTCAAGTTTTATATATCTTTTTGTTCCTTATATAGATATCCTCGGCTGAGAATCAAAATTATAAGTAATAATGTCCTCCAGACTGAATTTCGGTCACGGCGGTCAGTCTGAACGGAGACTAGCCATCGGCGCAGAACAGGATTATAGTGCCCAAGTATGTATAAGTATGCAAGCACAGGTTCAATTATCCTTACTATGAGAAGTCCTATGGGACGGTCATTTTGTGAGGCTCCCTATCGCCTTCACAATAACAAATCCAATATCCTTTTAGTCGCCTTTTATAACATAACAGGCAAGTACCACAGTCGTCACATTATTTTTTGTTATAAGTTCCACATAAACTTTTATTTACTAACATTAATTTTAAATTTTTATTTGAAGGTTGCATCTGAAATAAAATTGGTTGGTTATTGTTACCTGCCCCGTGTAGACAATACCCACTACCGCATATCTTCTCGTGGGTGTCGTAAGATACGATAGAGGGAAACTAAAGCAGAAGATGGGCAGCATCATCTTTATTATAACAGCAAAAAGCAATAAAAAACTGCGGATGCCAACCCGCTCGCCAAGCGTGGCAACTATGGCAATATACCCCCCATGAGCAATGACAAAAATAAACGGCCCCCAATCCACGGCGGTCCCGCTATTCCTGGCTACGGTGGCGACCATGGTAACGGGTGCTAAGCATCTCCGGTGGTGGAGGTTCGGTTGCCACCTAAGACGACTCGACTTGGCAACATATAACGCACGCACCCTGAGGACTGACTAGAAGATCCTGAAACTCGGAGAAGAGATAGGCAAGTTGCGCTGGGATATTATAATATCATCCAGAGTCAGAAAAGAGGGTGAGGAGACGGTAATCTTCGAATCCGGCAATTTGTTTTATCACCGGGAGCGGGACCGGGATTTATCGTCCACAATTCTCTCGTTAACAACGTTGTAAAGATTGGGAGTGTGTCGACGAGGGTTGGGACCTTAAACTCAGAATCACCAAACTGTATTCGCTGAAGGTCAAACAAGTTTACGCGCCAAAATTGGCACATCCCGATGAGGAGGTGGAGGATATGTATGAGGATATCTCTAGCGTCATGCAAGACTGGGAGAATTCAACGCAAAACTAGGCACAATAGAGAACGGTGAACTGAAAGTAGAGAAATTCGGAATGGGGCAACGGAACCCAAGGGGCCAGCGACTTTATGGAGAAAGAGGAACTCTTTATGATACACTCTACTATCAAAATCGGCCCCACAGAAAGTGAACCTGGTCGAACCCCGACGGTACGACAAAAAATTAGATTGCCTTTACTATGACGACCAGACGACAACTGTTCAGTGATGTCTCAGTGATCGCGAGGGTGAAAACTGGCAACGATCACCAAATAGTGAGAGGCACACTGAACCTAAACGTTAAGTTGGAGAGGTCTCGTCTAATGAAGTCAACGCCCCGTCCCTCTCGTGCTGTAATCCAAAACCCCAAAACTTTCAGCTCGAGTTACAAATTCCTTTTCAGTGCCTAGAAGACTGCAATAAAGTGAACGATATAAGAAAGAAAGAAAAAAATTATGATTATTCCGGTTTAAGCATGCAGTACAACAAGCAGAAAGTAATTACATGCAAAGAGATAAATAAAAACAAATTAAACATAATTGACTAAATTAAATATAATTGATATGAATTACAAGCTTGTGGAAACTTTCCATGCGTTCGGAGCTAAGTTCTATAAGATCCATCGTAAAAGAACACAAAAACTCTCCGACTATACTCTTAATCTCATTGCTGTTAGACGGGAGATGAAGCTGATTTCACAGCATACAGGAAACTGAACAGACAGATCTCCAAATGCATGCGGCGGGACTTATGCAACTTCAATATAATACTTACTGAAGAAGTGATCGATTGGCACCGGGACTCCAAAGTCTTTGCCAGAGATATATCTGCCAGAAAGAGCCAACTGTCGAAGCTGAATACCGAATGTGGCATCATCGTTTCCGGGACACCTAAGATTTTCAGTGAGATTGAGAGGTTCTATGGGCAGTAGTACACGTCATCATTGGAGCCACACGTAAGTATGAGCAACGATCCAAGAGCAAGTCTTATCTGACACTATTCCGATGATATACCCGACGTTAGTCTGAGCAAGATTAGAATGGATCTCCAGCACCTTAAAATCGGAAAGGCCCCAGGCGAGGATGGAATTACAACGTAGCTTCTGAAAGCGGATGGAATATCAGTACTTAAAGACCTGCAGAAGCTCTTTAATTCCGTCCTCCATGGTGGCACTACTCCGGAGGCGTGGGGCAGAAGTGCGGTGGTCTTGTTCTTCAAGAAAGGCGACAACGCTTTCTTGAAGAATAACAGTACCAATTTCCCTTTTGAGCCGCGTCTACTTTCTGTTTTCGAGAGTCATTACGAATCGTCGTGCACGCAGACACGACGATTTCGAGCCTCATGAACAAGCCAGTTTCTGAAAAGGCTTTAGCACCATAGACCACATACCCTTCGGGAAATTGTACATAAGACCAAAGAGTACAATCTGCCACTTTTTCTTGCGTATGTGGACTATGACAAACCCTTTGATTCCGTCTAAATTTGCGCGGTGCCAAGTTGAAGTACTGAAGTGTTTGTACAGTAAGGCTACGATGGCTACCCGGGTACAAAACCAGAGTACGAAACCCATCCAACTGCAGAAAGGTATAAGACAGGGTGACAGTATATACCCGAAACTCTTCATCGCTACATTGGAAGACGTTTTCAAGCTACTGGACTGAAAACTCCAGTACTACTAACGTCAGTGGTGAGTACATCACTCACCTTCGATTTGCCGACGATATAGTACTTATGGCAGAATTACTGGAGAATCTAAGCACTATGTTCAATGACCTCAATAGTGTCTCGCAACGAATAGGTCTTAAGATGAACATGGACAAAACAAGAGCAATGTGTAACGCCTATGTCACACCTATGCCGGTAGATGTTGGAAGCACTTATCACGAAGTTGCTAACGAGTATGTTTACCTGGGACAAATAGGCCGACTACCGAGAGGTCAATAGACGGATTCAACTCGGCTGGGCAGAGTTCGGGAGATTACGACACATCTTCTCGTCAGCCATACCTCAAAACATTAAAACTAGATTGTACAACCAGTGCGTGTTGCCAGTGATGACCTATGGCACTGAGACGTAGTCCATCACTGCTGGCTATATAAGGAAGCTAATAGTCGCTCAGCAAGCTATGGAGAGGGCTATGCTCGGAGTTTCTCTGCATGATAGAATTATTATTTTTTTTATAGGAGAGGGGGCAAACGAGCATGCGGCTCACCTGATGGTAAGTGACTACCGCCGCCCATGAACAACTGCAACACCAGGGGAATCGCAGATGCGTTGCCGGCCTTTTAAAAAGGAGTACGCTCTTTTCTTGAAGGTCCCTAAGTCGTATCGGTCCGGAAAAATCGCTGATGGTAATCGATTCCACAAGGAGGTCGTGCGAGGAAGAAAACATCTTCTAAATCGCACAGTGGTGGACCGCCAATCATCCAGATGGTGTGGATGGTATCGGGAGTTCTGCCGCGATGTGCGTTCGTGAAATTTGGCGGCTGGGATTAATCCGAACAATTCCTCAGAGCACTCCCCATGGTAGATGCGAAAGAAAATGCAAAGGGATGCAACATCTCTTCGCAGTGCCAATGAATCGAGCCGATCGGAAAGGGCTCGGTCGTCGACAATTCGAGCCGCTCTGCGTTGGATGCGGTCAAGTGGAAGGAGCTGGCACTGGGGGGCCCCTGCCCAGAGATGGGAACAGTATTCCATGTGAGGCCGAACTTGCGCCTTGTAAAGTAGCAGGCGGTGTGCCGGCATGAAATACTGTCCCGCTCTGCTGAGCACGCCAAGCTTTTTAGAGGCCAATTTGGCCTTCCCTTCCAAGTGACCACGAAACTGCACGTCACTCGATATGTCGACTCCGAGGATACCGATACTGGCTGAGGCAAGAAGGGGAGTGCCTTGAAACTGAGGAGATACGACAAAGGGGTTCTTTTTAGCGGTAAACGCGCAAACTTGTGTCTTCTGAGGATTAAATTGGACTAGATTTAGTCGCCCCCAATCCGAGACTTTGTTCAGCAAAGACTCGACTTCAGACACAAGTTTGTTCCGGTACTCAGCGACGTTTTCCCGAGAAATATTGGCACGGCTGGTGTATAGAGCATCACCAGTGCTGTCATCCGCATAGCAATGAATGTTACCAGTTAGCAACATATCATTGATATGCAGAAGAAACAGCGTTGGTGATAGCACGCAGCCTTGTGGAACACCAGCGTTAATAGGCTTGTAGTCGGAGCATGCACCGTCTACAACGACCTTGATGCTCCGATCTGCAAGGAAGCTGGTGATCCAATTGCACAATTTCTCGGGAAGCCCATAGGAAGGGAGCTTCGAAAGAAGCGCTTTGTGCCAAACCCGATCGAAGGCCTTCGCAATGTCCAGACTAACGGCCAACGCCTCCCCCTTGGACTCTACTGCCTCCGCCCATCTATGGGTCAGGTAGACCAGAAGATCACCAGCTGATCGACCCCGACGAAAACCGTATTGGCGGTCACTAATCAGCTGGTGATCCTCAAGGTACCGGATGAGCTGGCAGTTAATAATGGATTCCATTATTTTGGAGAACAAGGAGGTGATCGCGATAGGCCTATAGTTGGATGGGTCTGAGCGGTCGCCTTTTTTAGGGATCGGGTGGACAAAAGCTGTCTTCCATGAATTCGGGACTACGCCTTGGGAGTAGGAGTACCGGAAAAGACGCGTTAGGACCGGTGCCAACTCCGGAGCACACGTCCTCAGCACAATTGGGGGGATTCCGTCAGGCCCACTCGACTTCTGGATGTCCAGGGAGAGCAGTGCTTTGCGAACCGAGCGCTGTGAGAACAGCACATCCGGCATGGAGCACTCACACCGCGGGATGGTCGCCGGTGTTTTCCCCCCGTCATCAAGAGTCGAGTTGGACGCAAAAAGGGAGCCTAAAAGGTCGGCTTTGTCTTTTGCGTCATGGGCCAGTGAGTCATCCTCCCTGTGCAGAGATGGTAGTGATGGCTTACAGAAATTCCCTTGGACAGCCTTGGCAGGAGACCAGAATGCACGGGTTCCCGAAGGAAGGCGAACTAGTTTCTCGCCAATTCTGCCTATGTGCTCTGACTTTGCCTTGGCAATAACTCTTTTGAAGGACCTGGAGGCGAAGTTATACTTCTTTTTAAGTGTGCTGGTATTTACATCCCGAGTCGCCGAAGCCGCAGCCCAGGCTTGATAACACTCCTGCTTACTGCGTAATGCAGTCTTACAGGAGCGACCAAACCAAGGCTGAGATCTGCCTCCGATGGGTACCACAGATGATGGAATAAATAGTTCCATTCCCTGTAGCACCACATCAGTGACAGTGTCAGCAACAGCGCTGGGATCATCCGGCGAGAAGAAAACCCGCCCCCATGGGTAGGATGCAAAGAAGGACCGCATTCCGTCCCAATCCGCCGACCTGTAATGCCAAACACGGCGGCAACCTGCAGAACGCAACCGCGAAGGGAGCGTGAGTGGCACCACACTCCGGATCAGACAATGGTCCGAAGAGCCGAGAGGGGCATCGACGGAAACCTGATATCCGTCCGGATGAGAGGTCAGCAGAAGGTCCAACAGGGAAGGTGTATGATCCTCCACATCTGGAATCCGCGTAGGCGAAGTAACCAGTTGTGTCAGACCATATGCCAAGGCAAAGTCATAAACAGATCTCCATCGGTTCGGTTCACGTCTAACAGATCGCATGATCGGTTAGACGTGAACCGAGCCATTCGGCATGGTGGGCGTTAAAATCGCCAAGGATCACGATCTCTGCGGATGGGACCTGTTGTAGCAAGAAATCTGTAGCCATTTGGACGTGGTCGATGAGTCGGTCTGTAAAAACGATGATATCCGTAGTAGAACCAGATTAACCGACATAGCCCAACGGATTAGTAAGCTGAAGTGGCAATGGACCGGCCATATAGCTCGAAGAACCTACAACCGATGGGGGAAAAAGGTTCTCGAGTGGCAGCCTCATATCGGTAGTCGAAGTGTAGGGCGAGCCTCCACTAGATGGAGTGACGACCTAGTAAGACATGGAGGAAGTCGATAGATGTAGGTGACTCAGAACCGTGCTTTGTGGCGTTCCTTGATGGAGGCCTATGTTCAGCAGTAGACTTGTGAAGGTCTGTAATGAATGAAAAAAAAACTTTTAAGAGGGTTTTAAGGTAAGGTTTTCCACCGCGCTGACCAAATGCTTGTCGACGACTTCACATGTCTACGAAATACTTTTTTTATTTCTCAGACATTCAGATTTCCTCACGATATTTTCCTTCACCACCAAGCAAGTTATAAATTCCTGTTAGAAATAAGAGGCGGCCTGTGCCCAAGAGTGGGACGTGTACATAAGTTGTAACTTTAACTTTCGTGTATTTATGCTTTCAGGCATACCGGAATTATCCGTCCCACCCCTGGAGCCGTTACTGGTGTCCGGTATGAACATCGAGTCCGGCGCGGGTCCGGTCGTTATCAACCAAATTTACCGGAACATTCAGTTGCACGGCCTTACAGATTCTATCCTAACCTTATACAAGTAAGTACCCTAAGTAAGTAGCTTTTATTCGTAGTCCATACAACACCAGCGATTCTTTGAAGAGATTGCTTTCATATTTTCACTAATAAGTAGGTACTAACAAGTAGGTACTTACACATACAGGATATATATATATCTTTATATATAAAAATTACGTGTCACGTTGTTTGTCCGCGATGGATTCCTAAACTACTTAACTGATTTCAATGAAATTTTGCATAATGTGTGTATTTTGGTCCAAATTGAGAGATAGGATCGTTTTTATCCCGATAAATGACCCTCAAAATTTTTAATACGAATTTAAGGATTTATAAAGGTAGGGTCGTTGAAAAGGGCAGAACAACGTCTGCCTGGCGTGCTAGTATATATATATATCTCATATATTCTCAGACGAGCAAAGAATGATAGACGAAGCGCTACCTACAATTCAAGTGGTGCCGAAACCATGCTCAATTTCTTGATAAGCACTTACGCATACAGTTCTCTTTTTTTAGGGTTCCATACCATTTGGGTATACCCAAAGGGTATGGAACGTGACTCTATTACTAAGACCGGCCACATACATACGGAATTCCGTTTCGGGATTCCGTTTCGATATTCCGCTTCGAGATTCCGAACGCAGCAAGTTCATATAAAATATATGACCCGTCACACACGTACGGTAGTTTTCCGTTCGAAATTTTGCGGGCAAAACGGGATTCCGTATGTGTGTGGCCGACTCGTTCGGAATTCCGAAACGGAACCCCGAAACGGAATTCCCTATGTATGTGGCCGGCCTAAGCCTCCGCTGTCTGTCCGTCCGTCCGTCAGTCTGTCTGTCAGCGGGCTGTATCTCATGATCTGTAAAAGCTAGACAGTTGAAATTTACACAGAATATGTATTTCTATTGTCGCTATAACAACAAATAATAAAATTAAAATAAATTAAAAAATTTAAGAGTCTTCCCTACTAGAAATCGTCTCGCACTTGGCCTGTAATTATTTTTTTCTTTATCAATCCGTAAAAGTTCACTGCTACACGTACAAACACACAAAATATGCACCTACAACTATGCAATTGCGTGTTCTCAAAAAAAAATTGTCACCAAATCAAAAAATTGCGATCCACTCAATTTTTTTTTGAGTTACATAAAATGTACGCAGAGCTCCGCCTTTGTTTCTTTGATGCTCTAAATTAGGATCACGACATTGCTGGATTTGTTTTCTTAATACCTGTTTAGTTAGGGCAATAATTAATTGAAGAGTACAAGGCATATTTTGGACATGTTAAGCATAGCGCCATCTTTCAGTTTATAAATAGATAACTTTTAAGTATTTTAAAATGAAAAAGAATAGCAATGTAAAAAGCAAATTTCAAAATTGTTATAATAGGTGATTTTAATATAAGTACCTTAAAACCTGGCAGCCTGACATGCCACGTAAAAGATCTATGCAATAACCATAATTTGAAACTCCACATCGATGTTCCAACTCGAAAAGAATCGTATATAGATCACATCCTCAGTAATATGAAGGAAGCTACTATTCATATACTGCCTCTCTATCTGTCGGATCATGAAACAGCGCAACTACTGAGTATTCCCATCCAACAAAAAAGAATTCTAAAACAGAACAATCTTACTACTCATTCAAAAAAGACTATTCGAAAATATTAACAAGTTTAAGGAATGCTTGAATAGCCTCTCTTGGTCTGAAGTATATAATGAACCTGACTTGAATATAGCCTTCAATAACTTTCATTCGAACTTCAGGTTGTTTTACGATTTGTGTTTCTCAACTAAAGAAGTTAAGGTTAATAAAAAACATAAACACAACAGAACACATAGAGAAATCTCCGATATAACTTTTATGCACATAAATCAGCAATCAATAGACAGAAATATTTTACATGTTCTCAAATATCCTAAAAAAATGTATAAATAAATCTAAGAGACTTGCAAACATTCAAAATAGCAATAATAAATATAAAGCAACGTGGTCAATAATAAAAAAAATTAAATAGGTATATCACCTATTGTGTGTGCTATTATTAACTGTCTAAAAATTGACAATTCCGACATAGCAAACCCGGAAGAAATATACCAAATATTTAATAATTACTTTACAAACATCGGATAAAGTAGTATTAATAACATAAACAATGGCGAAGGCTCTAATATTAATAATAATTTTAACTTAAACACAATGTTCCTTAAACCCATGCCAAATGAAGTAAAATTAGAGATAGAGGTAGTAGAGGTAGAAAAACTCTGTAGGTTACAATGGCATATATACACAAATATTGAAGTCATGCATTGATGAAATAATTGATATATTGACTCATCTTCCCAATTTGTCATTCTCATCAAGAAGGTTCCCAGAAACATTAAAGTTCTCCATTGTAAAGCCTATACACAAACATGGCAACAAAAACGTCGTTAGCAATTATCGCCCAATTACCCTGATACCTACACTTTGAAAAGTATTCGAAAAGTGTATGTATAAAAGGCTCCTAGAATTTCACAATAAATTTAACATTATAAATAAAAATCAATATGGCTTCCAAAAACATAAATCGACTAACTTAGCTAATCGTCATCATATCAATGCTTTGTTGACCAATATTAATGACTGTTTTTTGACTTAACTAAGGCATTTGACTTCGTATCCCATGATCTCTTATTAAATAAATTGGAAACAATAGGAATAAGGGGTATTACGTTGCAGTGGATTGCTTCGTATTGAACAAATCGTACTCCATGTGTCACGATAACAAAATTGATCAATAAATAAATTAGAACATATAAATCAAGGCAGTATTTTAGGTGTTATTATAGACCAGATAGCATAAACAAATGTTCATACGCGCTCAACCAAATAAAATGGTGACTGACATAAAAACGTCTGTTATGACTTACCGAACTTATGCAGAGTCTATGCTTCGACTGGTGATGTGGGGAAATAGTTCGGATTGGAATCGGGTCGGGCATTTCTTGCGGAGAAAAAGTGCATTAGGACAATCTGCGGAGTACGACTTAATGAATAGTGTCGGTCTCTATTTAAATTTCTTGGAGTACTACCACTTTTCTACGTGGTAGAGCCATGCTGCAGCTATATTATGGTTGTAGCACGAATGGGTCGGCTCGAACGGGGAAGGACCACGCTCTCACAGAAAACCAGCGTAAAATAGCAGCTTAACGCTGCTGTGTTTCGTATGGTGAGTGTAGAGAACCGGAGACCCTTTTTACTGGCAAAGAGGCATTCCATCTTAGTCCTCACGGGTGACAACGCATCTGCATCTTGAGTCTTTATTGAGAATAGATGTAGATGTCTATGGGTCACAGTAACCACTTACCATCAGGTGGACTGTGTGCTCCTTTGTCACCCGATCCTATAAAAAAAAACTACCAACAATATATATTTTTGAAAATTGTGCAGAGACACAAACAATTATTTGAAAAAGCTTGTGTGTACAGTCTACTCGCTCACATAGGGACCCACACAAGCTAGTACTTAAGGATATACCTAAATGAAAAAAATATTTCAAAACTTGCCTTACCATGTGTGTCCGAATATATAATACTATATACTCCCTGACGAATTTAAAACCCTAAATATTAAATTGTTCAAAAATAAATTGTACAAATTGCTCAATGAAAATAATTTCTATAGTGTAAAACAATTCTTGGATAGGAAAAATTAGATTATGTATTAGATAATATTTGTTATAAAGTTTTCATTTAATTGTTATATTATAGTTACAATATATATTTAATTAAGTTACATTTTACTAGGTATTGAAATTGACGATGCTCAGAATTGACATTTAAATAATTATTATAAAATTATTTTTCTATATTTTATTTTTAACTAAATCAGGTCACTAAATTATATTTCAAATAGCTAAGGAAATATTTGACATTGTTTAGAAATATTTGCATACTATGTAAAATAAGCAAAACATGAGCGCTCGTTTTTACATGTTAACAACATTTATACCATGTTTTACGCAAATAAAGATTATTATTATTGTTTTAAAAAATATTTCCGTAATATAATATAATAATTTGAATTTGATTTGTTGCAAAATTAATTTTTCAGGGCGGATTTGAAACATCACCGCCTACGAACAGATTCGTTGACGCCTAAGATGGAGTTCATCGCCGACTACGTGATGAAAGGAAGAATTCTCGTCCTACCTATCCAGGGCAAGGGGATTGCTAATATAACTATGGGTAATTAAATAAATATAAAATGATTGAATAAACTGTGCCGCATAATCGCGGCGTAAGAGAAGCCTTATTAAAATGATCAACTTTTAGTTTGTGGTCCCTTAATATAGTTTTATAAACTGGTTATTTATCTTGTTTTAGTGAATTTGGTTGTGAAACATGAATTAATCGGCGAACCAGTTACTAAAGACGGAGAAACTTACATGCACATGCGAGACTACAAAGTCAAATTCATACCACAAAGAGTTATTTTGCACTTCTCCAATTTGTTCAACGGTGATAAGGCCCTAGGAGATCAAATGAACAGGTATTTTTTAATTTAACAATTGTTTACAGCGCCATCTATTGCTCAATATATGTTTATAATTGTATCTTTTCTCGTATAAAAGTTTATGAATGCGTCACTAGATGGCACTTAAATAATATTACTGGTTTCAGGTTCCTCAATGAAAATTCAGACCTCGTGTTTAACGAGTTGAAGGAATCTTACGAAAAGAGTCTCAGTTCAGTATTCCAAGACGTTACAAACAAAATATTCGATAAAGTTCCAATGAACAAAATCTTCCCAGAAGATTAAATATAGCTGTGATCAAAAATTCGTTCATAAGTTTATTTTAGTGGCACAAAACTGAGTGAAATTAAGTAAGGATGTCGTAAAAGTGGTTTATATATAAGTTTAGTATTGTAAGAAAACTATTTACCAACTAGTAAGTATCTGAGTAATGTATTTATGAAAAGAAAAAGTGCTTTAATAAATCTTGCTGTAGGTTTGTAATATTAAGTAAAAACAATTGAAAGAGAAGAAATGTTGTTTTAATGTTTAACTATCCATTGATCCCTGAAATAAATATAGATACATATAATATTACATAGTATTTTTAAAATGTTGTAAAAGAATTACAATTACATTGACAACCATATCGTCTACACAGGACAAATTACAACTACCGCCATCTAGTAATAAATAGCAAAGAAATTACCAACATCATTCAACCAAAAAAGTTGCCTCTTGACTGCTATTATTGCATTTTGGCTGTCTCGTTACCGGCTTACAGGTATATTTTAACAATCTTGAAGGGATTTTAGCTAATCTTCGATCGTTTAACTCCGCGTCACTAATGCGTCGGGTGATTTTCAAGCACTTTGTTTTACAAAAAGCTTCGTTTATTATAATTACTGGAAAAATTATATTTTGATTAACCTCAAATAGTGACATTTTGTAAATCATTTTTTTATTAAATAATTAAATAACCCCTAGATCTTCATGGTATTTTGTATGCTTGAGACATACAAAATACCAGGAAACCAGGAACATCTAGGGGTTACTACCTAGATGGCAATGTGAATATATTCAGACTGGTGCAACGGAAACGGAGTCCGCCTGAAAATTGTTGCAATTAGGGAAAGGTTGGTACCTACCTAATTACCTTTCATTTTGGAAGAGGTAATTTCAAGCAATTACGTACATAAATAAGAGTTGCTTTATAATTTCAGAACAAAAGTAAACTCCATGCATATATATTATTTTATTGCAAAATTATGAATACAAATACATTACACCCCATAATATCATACTGTGGGTGTCGTAAACGGAGATGGGCAGCAACATATTGCTGAAAACGATTGAACATAATTAATAACTGCAACTATCGTTTCCAACTCTCACGCCAAGCGCGGCAAATATCCACCTATACGAGTAAGGCATACTATAAAGGAGGCCTGTGTCAGTTTTGGAATTAAGGTGGGCTTTAATGAATAATGAATTAAATATATTATGTAATAATGAGTAGTAAGAATATGTAATAATGAACAAAATCTTAGTTGGTTAGTAATAAATAAATGTTATATTTCATCTACTACAAATATTTTAAAAAATAATTTAAAAACAGTGAAAATACTAACATAATCCAACTAGAAGTAGGTAGATTAACAATCCCAGTAATACCGCACCCAGCTCCATTATTCGAACTGAAATAGGTTTCTTTTAATTGTACCATAGTGTCTTATAACAAGTCTTTTAGGTATTTGAAATATTTTTGGATCCTAAGAAGCAACTGGGGGACATAATATAAGGCTTTTAGGGCAATCAATATTGCATTTTAGGTTGTTCTTAAAGTTACAGTCCACAAACATTCCACTGCTGGTGCAATGGCTACGCTACTAAAGTACGTCTTGTCACATGTCTTCAAAACATTTTATTTCTCAGACATGCTGGCTTTTCCAAAACAAACTACGGCTTAGACTTCATCGTAGAGCAGCTTATAAAATAACTTAACTTCGTATAACATATTATTGTGATAATAATGTTAAATTTGTTTGTGAATAAAATGAATAAAGTTGTTCTATAATGGTTAGTTAGTTTCAGGAATATTTGGCGGTAACTAATTATTTTATTGATACTTTGTTTTATAGGACATTAACGTATGTCTAATTTTTGGAAGCATTATAGAAAAACAAATTAAAAATTTACAAATAGACCTAAACCTAGGCTTTCTCTTTACATTTTTAATTATCTGTATTAGTGATCGTTGAACCATTGAACGACTCGACCGCTGCTTGCAGTCATAATTTGACAATATGTTCAAAAACCTCCTTGGTTTAAAACGGTGATGTCAAAGCGCCTGTTAATATTAAAGTAGCAAAAGCATGTGGGCGCTTCGAAGTGACATCCATCGGTAACATACATACATACATACATATAATCACGCCTCTTTCCCGTAGGGGTAGGCAGAGACCACTTCTTTCCACTTGCTACGATCCTTACATACTTGTTTCGCTTCGTCCACTTTCATTATTCCTTTCATACATACTCTTCGGTTTAGGGTACTCATGACCAGGCCTTTTTTCAAGACGTCCCTAATTTCGTCTATAAACGTCCGCCTAGGTCTACCCCTTCCAACACTTTCATTCACACTCGTCTTATACACTTTTTTCGTCAATCGTTCTTTCATTTATTCTCTGGACATGGCCAAACCATCTCAGCATACCTTTCTCAATTTTTGTCACTACATCTTCTTTTAGACCACAAGGTTTCCTTATCTCACTATTTCTTATCCTGTCACTCAGTTTAACTCCTATCATACTTCTTAACGCTCTCATCTCAACTGCATTTATTCTGCTTTCATGTTTCTTCTGCCATACCTATCGGTAACAGGCAGGATAATATTCGACATAAAAATTTTAGCTCTTTCTTATAACGTGGCGTACTAGCACTAGCATAGGTTTAGTATTAACTGGTATATAATATGTCTATGAACAATAGCAATCTTGGTAAAGTAAAAAAAATACTTTAGACGTTGTTTTATTTGTCACCGAATGTTAACTAAAGACAGAAGGTTCACAGCTATTGTCCGATAGGTAGCACTGTAGCCAAATTATTAACAAATTCTATATCCATCGATCAAAATAATTATACACCTATATTTTCTTACAAGTTTGAAAAACATCGCCAAAAACAAGACCCGATAGGTTGTGTTGTGGTCGAGTTTTTAATACATAGCGCCACGCCTGTAATCCCCAAGTGAGTAGGCAGAGTCCATAGAACAGTAAACTACTCGAACCATTTAGTCGAAAAATATGGATTTAGATGGTAAATTGTGAAAGACGTGGTATGTGGCTAGCCATACATTTTACGGCATGCTAGTAACATTGTTATTACATTGTTTTTTGTTACAAGTACCACATAAACATGTTACCTATAAGTCTCATACAAATATAAATATGTATATAAATATTTGTAATAAATATTATATTTAGACTGTAGAATTTAAATTTAAAATTTAACAAAATAAATAGACAAAAAATTCATTAAATATCAATTGTAAGTCAGTAAATATCAAGTAAAATCATTATTATTACAAATTACGTAAAATACTTAAGTAGTTAGTTATTTTTTGAAAAAGCATTACAATCATATAGTAAGCAAAAAATAAATAAAAACTTGTGTTAATCAATAAGGGTCGATCTTAAGATCTCGAGGACCCCCAAAACCAGTTTGCGTTTATGTCGACCTCTGGGAAGCCGATTATCGGACCCAAGGGGCCGATATCGACCACTTTGGGAATATCTATACGGTTCAAGGCAAGACATCACATTTGATAGACCATAAATCCTCGCGAAAGAACATCGATTCCTACTAAGAATGATGCCTACGTAAGGCTAATTAAAGTGAAACTAGTTTTATTCAAAATGTCCAAAAATAATAAGATTTCCAATAGTTAGCGTTATTACCATCAGTCACGTCAGACATAAAATACAGCAATCCAGCTGCCAAGTGCCAGGACTGATAAAAACAATGGATTTCTTCGGGCTAATAAAAATGAACAAAATTCAAAAATGTTATTCGTAACTTACTCTATTGTTGCTAAGAATTTTCCTGCCTGAGAATCACTATTACATTGCTAAAAGTGAAAATAGACTGTAATTTTTTTTGATATAGTTCAATAAAATATAATATATATTTTACAATGAATGACATTAATCTGTCAAAATACTGACAGAATCAGAGTAATAGAAACATTAGCAACTTTAGGTATATTGATATCACAATCAATTGATAAATCGATTCTCAGGAGTAATGAAAGCGATCTTTTATTACTCAATTTTTTTATAGGACAAGTGTGACAAACGAGCACACAATCCACCTGATGGTAAGTGGTTATGTAACCACGGAGCAAAAAGAACAGCCCAGTGGCGGCGTAGCGTTGGTTGGCAACCAGGGCGGTTTTCTATCGAGCACCCCCAAAAAAAAAACAAAAAATGTTAAGCATGCTTACCAGAATTTATTTCGTTAAATTATTCTATACCTACATCATCATTACAAGTTCCTTCACAAGTCAACTGCTGAACAAAGGCCTCATCCAAAGAATGCCACAAAGCACGGTCCTGAGCCATCCGCATTCATCGACTTCGTGCATGTCTTACCATGTTGTCACTCCATCTTAAGAGGAGCCGCCCCACATTTCGCCTACCGGTACGAGGCTACCACGCTTACTAATCCGTTGGGTTATGACGGTTACTCCGGTTCTACTGCGGATATCCTCATTTCTAAGTTTATCCCGCAGATTAAGCCCAAGCATAGCCCTCTCCATAGCTCGCTGAGCAACCTTCAACTTACTCATATGGCCAGCAGTGAAGGACCTCGTATCAGATCCATAAGTCATCACTACAACAGGTATACCTGACGAGAAGATGTGTCGTAATCTCCCGAACGCTGCCCAATCGAGTTGAATCCGTCGATTGACCTCTCGGTCGAAATTGAACTTACCTAGTCGCTATATTTGTCCCAGGTAAACATACTCGTCACTCATGTCAAACTTCGTCTGTCGTCGATTTTCCAGTATCGATTTCATGGAGAATCGAAGATTCGAACGGAGTTTTGCTTTTCATTCGAATGATACGAACTTTTCATGAAATGTCTCCCTGCTTCCGACAAATCGCGTTCTGAATTAATCGCATTTTTTTCGAACTCAAGGTAGTTTTTTACTATTTAAACTTAACTATGCAAAATCCAACGGTGGTCCAAATTGAACGGAAGTCTTTAGTTCTCCGCCTCTAGATGGCGCTAGCCGTCCCAAGCGACGTGAATTCTGTGTATTGAAAATATTGATGCAGTGAATTTTTAATGTATTAAAAATGATCTCCGGTTAATAAAATATCACCACGTTCCCGGTTCTTTGGGACTGGTTCGTGAGTAAACTGGTTCGAAACAATATTTTGAATGTATCAAAAACCGAATTCAATTCGAAATCAATCTCCGATGTAAGGCGGATTACATAGAACCCGTGGAAAGAAAACAATAATTTATAGTTATTATATTTAAGTTTAATTAATTTCCATTAGAGGGGTATTTGCCATAGTTGCCACGCTTGGCGAGCGGGTTGGCAACCGCAGTTTTTTTATTGTAATTTTGGCTATTATCAGGAAGATGCTGCTGCCCATCCATCCTGCCTGTTTCCCTTTGTCGCCTTTTACAACACCCACGGGAGGATATGGGGTAGTGGTATTCTTGACCGCCACTACACGGAAAGGTTCTCGAGTAGCAGCCTCGTACCGGTAGGCGAAGTGTATTGCGTCCCCCCCACGAGATGGAGTGACGACCTGGTAAGACATGCAGGAAGTCGATGGATGCAGGTGGCTCAGGACCGTGCTTTGTGGCATTCTTTGGGGGAGGCCTATGTTCAGCAGTGGACTTGTAAAGGGCTGTAATGATGAATGATGATGATGATGAATTTCCATTAGGCACTCCTCAAATAGAATAGAATAGAATAGAATGATTTTTATTCAATATGGATTATTACATAATGCTTATTGAAAGTCATTATTTTATTTACCACTGTTACACCAAATTAGTCATTCTCTCCTTTTTGAGTTTTTGGTCTTTGATATTAGTGGATGTCGCAAGAGGCGACAGAGGGAAACTGAAACAGTAGATGGGCAGCAGCATCTTAAGAGTCCCTCTTTTCTCCATGAAGCCGGCCAGCTGCTGACCACTTGGGTTCCTTTACCCTATTCCAAATTTCCCTACCTTCAGCTCACCGTTCTCTCTTGTGCGTAGTTTTACGTTGAAGTCTCCCATTAACACCGTATAGTGAGTTTTGGAGGAATGCATGGCTAGATATATTCTCATACATTTCCTCCACCTCCTCATGTGCTGCGGTTGGTGCGTAAACCTGTGTGACTTTCAGCGAAGACCGTTTGGTGTTTCTGAATATAAGATACGCAATACTCGTCGACACACTCCCAATCTTTACAACGTTGTTAACGAGAGACTTGTGGACCATAAATCCGACACATCATTGGGACAGATGGTCGCCCTCCCGGTGATAAAACATGTTGCCGGATCCGAGGATTACCATGTTCTCCCCCTCTCTTCGAACCTCAGATAATCCTATAATATTCCAGGGCAACTTGTCTACCTGTTCTTCCAGCTCCAGGATCTTCTCGTCAGTCCTCAAAGTGCGTGCGTTATATGTTGCCAGGTCGAGTTGTCTTAGGTGGCAACCGAACCTCCACCGGAGATTCTTAGCACCCCCTGCCCCGCTATTACCATGGTCGCCACCGTACCCAGGAATAGCGGGGCCGCCGGGGACTGGGGGTCGTCTCTTCGTAACTTTAATCATGGCAACTTTAATAAGGCGTGACAACTATGGCAATACGCGATTTTGCCATAGTTGCCACGCTTGGCGAGCGTGTTGGCAACCGCGGTTTTTTTATTGTTGTTTTGCTGTTATCAGAAAGATGCTACTGCTGATCCTCTGCCTCAGTTTCCCTCTGTCGCCTTTTACGACACCCACGGGAAAATATGGGATAGTGGGTATTCTTACCCGCCACTACACGCTAGGCACATTACTTACTTAGCATTAAATTTCCAAACATCGACTGGCGAAGAGTTACATATATTAGTATGGATATAGCGGTGTTCAGCGTTACCTACGATCTAATTGCATCGATCCCTACATAACTTAAAAGCTAACCAATTTTCCTCCGTTCGTTCCCTTCTAAATCTAGTAGTAGTCTAGTCATTAATACCCAAACACTCTCTGTCATCTAAGAAGAAGGAGCACGTTTTAATCTAACTTTGTGAATCGGATCATGAGCATCATACTGGCTGAGAATTGTATATTAAGGTAAGAAAGATATATTTTCATCAACTGTAGATGCGCTCCCTAAAGTTTACTTTTTTTAAATTAGTAATTGCAAAGTATTAGAAGTAGTTTTGGGAGGTCCAAGCTTATAAGAAGCGTAAATTAGGTATTTTTTTTTATTCAATATACATTACATGTGTAATTCTTATTGAAAGTCATTTTTTACTTTACCACTGGTTCGAAAAAAAACCCTCTGTCCTGGGAAGAACCAGCAAGAAACCCAGCGGGACTTTTTTTTAAAATAAATTTTACAATATAAATGATTACGAACTATTTACAAAATTTATTTTAGAAACTGCTTGGAAGCGACCACCTCATTCCTAGGGGTTATTATCAACCATGTATTCATTTATACTATAATAATCCTTTTTATACAGTTTCAGCTTAATAAAACATTTAAACTTGGTAATAGAGAGAACCTGTACACTTTCGGGGACCTTGTTGTAATAGCGTGTACATTGCCCCAAGATCAATGTCCTGAGAAACCCGGAGCGGGTACTTGATTAATTACATGATCAAAAGAAGCAGATAATAATAATAAGATCAATCAATGAGTCATCACAGTCTAAATTGCGATGGGTAGCCCATAAGGGAAGAGTGTGAAGGTTGACAGACTCAATGATTGAACGAAGTTTTTGAGACCGAGAAGAAATCTTGAGTATATCTGTATTGAAATCACATATGATTTAGCAGTGAGTACTCGGAACCAAAATTGTCAAAAGCCATTTCAATAGAAGGAAAGTAATCAATAGCAGGTGTAGGGGAGTAGTACACTACTCCAAGGATTATCTTTTTACCCTTGACCTTGACATTTAATTCAATAAACAGGAACTCAGAGGAGGCTGAGTAAGTTGCTTAGAAAATTATTATTATAGAATAAATATTCTTATAGGGAGTTTTTTAGCATCTTTTATTTTCATTAGAGTAATGTTTTGAAAGACATTCTCAAGGACATCGCCTTTGATTCATTATAGTTCTGATTTGTTGGATTTATGAGGCTGTTAGTTCAGGCAATTTTATTTAAAATGTTTGTTTCTCAATCCTTGCATGTCGCGATAACACGTATAAGGATTATATCTTATATCACACCATTATTATTGTAAGTTATAGCTTTAAGTCATGATGTAATCTGTTATGTTGTCCAATAAATAAATAAAAAAAATTACAAGTCCTTGGCACAAGTGGTTGATTCACACCAAATAACTAGATAATCCATTACCATTACAGCCTATAAACTGCCACTGCTGAACATAGGCCTCTGCCATAGATTGCTTAGTAGGGATTTCGCCATAGTTGCCACGCTTGGCAGGTGGTATAGCAACCACAGTTTTTTTTAATATGAATTATTATCAGCAGGATGCTGCTGCCCATCTTCTTTTTTTTATAGGAGAGCGGGCAAACGAGCATGCGGCTCACCTGATGGTAAGTGACTACCACCGCCTATGAACAACTGCAACACCAGGGGAATCGCAGATGCGTTGCCGGCCTTTTTTTTCTTGTATTAGTTTCCCTCTGTTACCTCCTACGATACTCGCGGGACGATATGGGATAAGTGGATATTCTAACACTGCCACTACAACTAAATAATAATCAACTTTCGACGTGGTAGAGCCATGCTGCAGCGATATTACTAGTATAGTTGTAGCACGAAAGGGTCGGCTCGACCGGGGAAGGACCACGCTCTCACAGAATACCAGCATAAAATAGCAGCTTAACGCTGCTGTGTTTCGTATGGTGAGTGTAGAGAACCGGAGACCCCTTTTTACTGGAAACGAGGCATTCCATCTTAGTCCTCAAAGTGACAATCTCTCAGCATTTTGATTCTTAATTGAGCATAAATGTAGATGTCTATTGTCTATGGGCAGCCACTTACCATCAGGTGGACTGTTTCCCTTTGTTTGCTCGTTTGTCACCCTTATCCTATAAAAAATACCTTCAACGTGTTAGAACAAAGGATTATTATGGATTTAATTGCAAATAAGTATTATATTTTCTGTCTTATTGGTTTATTGAGTGAATTATAACAAATTTCTATGGCATAGTCACTGGTAACGTTATTTCGAAGAAGAAACTGTTACATAACTAAGTTGCACTTAGCCTCTAGCGTTGTCCGACCAATGTTACACTCTTAATCATATTTAATATCATATTTATCTTTTGAATCTCGAGCAAAATTTATTAAGATCGAGTTGAAATTGTAAAATGTGTTTCACGTTGCGATATGTGCATAATACTTATCAGGTGAAATATTTAAAAAAAAATCAATTAAGAGTGTAACAACAGCCGATTATATAGCATTTCAGATAAAAGTTGAGCCTTCGAGTGTTATCTAAGGAATTTTAATCCTAACAATTCTTAGATAAAACTCAAAATATCAACGGTATTAAGCCGCCGTCTATATATTTATTTATTGCATAATCTTTACAAATATCTCATTAGAACGTTAAGAAAGTAAACAAATAGATATATAGATGACGGCTCATGTACCGGGCCGAGCATTATAAGATGCAATGATCTGGCTGATTTACAATGTTAGTAATTAATTTTGTATCGTGCTTATGGCGCTATTTTGTCACCTAAGTTTAAAAACACTATAGTATACAATTTAAGACACTGATAAATAACAAATATAGTATAAACGAAAAAAAAAAACAATATATATAGCGTTACATAATGGATGCTATAGGATGCGCGTGAAAAATAAAAATGTACGTTGGTTCCGTTTTTCGACGCTGTCTGAGACGAGTGAGTGAGTTATCCATGCATCACTTTTTCCACAATTTTCCGTCTAAACCCATATTAACAGTACCGCTGCTCTTTAGACTCTGTCTACCGCCTTGGAAATTACTATAGTTTAATTTTAATACCGACGTAGAGCCGCTTCGTTCGCTAATTTAACTTCCAAGTTAAATTATATATAAGAACAAAGGAAGCGATGTGTTTCGGATCACCTTTAAATTGGACGGTAACATCTATATTCAAAGTGCAAAAATATTTTTTCTGTTATCACTATACTAGTGAGGTAAATCGATAATTATTTGCATTACTAATCTAACCTATACTTTTTCACGTTTCCTGCACTGATTACTACTTGATACACTTGGTTACATTGAAATTTATTTATTTATAATTCATTACTTTAAATAATGTTATCAAATTACAAAATATTGAAAAATATTGTTAGTAAGTATAAGAACATTTAACTTAAGCCAAGAATTCTCACATTTATAAGCTCTAAGCCCTTCACAACCTATCATATAACAATGAGATTGCTGAATTTAAAAAAAATATAAAAAAAATTGCCAAAACTCCCGGCTCAGGCGAGGAATGATACTTAATACAGCTACAGAACGCGTTTTCTTTGTTATTAATTTAGAGAACGTTAAACATCGGGGATATAGCAATCATAGCCTAAAAATAACTATTGACTACAAAACTTAATACAAATATCTCTTAAATAAAACTTTAAATAATAATATATAAAATTTTTTTTTTTATCGAAAATGCGTTGTAATGAAAGAAAAACTCAACATTACTATTTTTAATTAAGGAGCAAAAATGTTGAATTGATTTCGTCTAAATTTCTATTCGACTATAATATTTTATTTATTCAATCGAACTGAAAGGTTTGAATATCAATTCATATTAAAACTGAGTCGGTCAAAAATATAATTAAATACAAACAGGCAACTTAACATAAACTTTTCTTTAGCACCATCATTCCTACATGTATAACGGGATACTCAGGTCAATAATTGGACTTAACTCATTCGAATATATTTTCAAATTATTTATCCAGATCGTGAATATTTTATTAAGTCATGCAATGGTTAGTACACTTGTCTACTCTAAATACAATTTAGTACTAATCTAAGGTTACGACATATACCGCTATGGCGTGATCGTGGAGCAGGAAGAATTTTAAATTATTGCAATTCATACAAATGTGAACTTTAATCACTTGAGAATATACTCGGTTTTCAAATCACAAATACTGTTCAAAAGGTCCTAAAACTATCTTAGATGCAATAAAAATATAACTTTTTGTGATGGGAATTAAGTTTAAAAATGCAAAGCAATAAAAAAATCCTGCTCCGCAACCGTGCTTTAGAAGGGAATTCGACATTTTTTCGCATTTTGCATTTTATATAATGCTACGTTAGCACTAATTAAGATATATACTTTTATAAAGATATGATAGTTGTTATTAATGTTAATATATAAAAGGGCTTCATTTGACCAAACCGTTGGAAATGTAGCGCCCAATAGTTGTACAGTTATCGTTCACAGTGAACTAGAATTTCACCACGATCTATGCAAACATTTGCACCAACATTGATCAAATACGATTCACGTATAATCACATCACAATCACACTTGCTCAGTCTTAGAGTCAATTGTCGCATTCTTAAGCGAAAGTTGTCATTGGAACTGCGAAGTAGACGTAGATCTTCTGCAGCCGATGGAAACAGGAGCTGGTATCCTCGACCCGCCTGTCTTAGGATCTTTTCTGGGCGCCGCTAACTGTCTGGTACTTGTAGACCTTTCTAGCTTACCGTCCGACATAACCCACGCTGATGTAAAGTCAGCGTAATCAGAGTCTTTCGAGCTTGTCCTCGATATAGAGTCTTCTCCCTTTGAATAAGATCTAATTATCTCTTTCATCTTTTCTAAGACGGTCGCGTCGTCTTTAGCGGTTTCCGCGGACCTTAAGATCTGTTCAAGTAAAGGGCTTAATTGCTTCTGGTGAGAAGGGGAACGCAGCGTTGCACTGCTGGCTCTTAGAGGTGAATTTCGCTTGAACGCCTCCGTTTGGCCAGCTTTAGGCTTTGCCTTCGGCGATTTGTTGGGATTATCGAAGGTGTCTGCTCCAATTGTGGGTCGGGTCTTCGTCTTAGTCTGTGTTGGAGCAGTCCTACCACTCCATGTATTCCTAGCTGTTGGAGGCAGTTTGGGCTTTAGCTTTGGCGATGTCTGTACTGGCTTTGGAGTGTGTTTGGGGCTCGGTGTGTTGCCACGGCTCGGTGTGCTGCCACGGGTCGGTGTGTTGCCACGGCTCGGTGTTCGGTTCCTGACTGGCGAGTGTGGAATACGACTCGCCTGTCTACTCCTTATGGTCTTCGTTGGTGATTCCGAAACTTCTCTGTTGGGTCTGAGACTCTTGCTTGGGGAATCGTTGTTTTCTGTGCTTATGTTGCATTCGGGACTGGCCCGATTAGATTTGTCGTCGACCGAACTGGTCTTTCTGCTCTGACCACCGTAGAAAGTGTCGGAGAAGTCTGTCTTCCGGAGGCCAGTGGTCAGGCTGACGTAGACATCCACACGTTCATTCTTGTCCATGTGACAGCCATCATCGTGTTCGAGACGCTCTGAAACAGATAAAAAATAGGTATTTAAAACTAACTGCCATGAATTCTTAAAATCAAAAGCTTAAAAAAATACTAGTATATTTTTAACACCAGGAATCTGAAAATGGTTATGTTGAAATTATAAAGCTACGATTATTTTTATAGAATAAGGGTGACAAATAAGCGGTTAGTCCACCCGACGGTAAGTAGATGCAGTAGTTCATAGAGATCTAAATCTATTCTAGATTAAGAATCAAAGTGCAGATGCGTTGTTTCCCCTGAAAAGTAAGATAAAATGCCTCTTTTGCAGTGAAAAGGGAGAGGGGAATGGCATATTCCATCATTTTGCCACAGTTGCTTGGCAGGCGGGTTAGTAACTGCAGTTTTTTATTAAAATAATATGTTATCAGTTTTGTTTCAGTTTCTCCAAATTTATATGGCACCACCCCTGAAGTAATCTCTACCTACCCTATTTAATAAAATAATTATCAGAATCGATTCACAAATAACAAAGATAGCGCATAGCATAACATACTTTACAAAAAAAAGTACAGTCGAATTGTAAGCCTCCTTTTTTTTGAAATCGGCTAAAACATTCATAATTAAAATCTAATTATGGTTAAATCTGAGCCCAACTGCACCCGAGGTGAACTGAGCGATAGGCCAACTGCTATTAAAATTGCAACCTACTACGTCCCACTCCTGGACACAGGTCTCCTCGAATTTCTGAGAAGATATTAAGTGCAAGGAAAAGTTTAAATTAAGTAAAGTTTAGTGCTTGTTAGTGGACTTCACACGTATTCGAAATATTTTTATTAATTTCTAAGACATGCACGTTTCCTCACGATGTTTTGTTTCACCGTCGAACACATGGCAAATAAGCATTTAAAATTGTAATTAACAATTTCATTGGCGCCGGCGGGTATCGAACCCGAGTTGCTCGCGTACTGTTACATTTACAGCGAGCGCTTGGCCGCTGAGCTACCACGGCCACCTGCTATTATTGCATAGATAATGGCGGAATAATGTGCAAAACGTTTCCTGTTGGGCCATAATGCGCAGACCTGCCATACATTGCCTTAAAAGGTCGGTTCGTTTAGAGGTTTCCTTTTCCGAGTAATGACAGTGTATGACACGGTTAGTTAGATATGCCGTTTGCGATATGTTCAGATAATAGGTGGTAAGACTGCTTTTCCGCATCGAAATGCAATCGAAGGTCACCCTTTTCTACTGACTTCAAAAAGGAGGTATTCAATTCGACTGTGTTATTTTTTTAATGTGTCTGATCTCTAATTTTTATGGGTGAACCGATTCCAATGATTCTTATTTTGTGGTCCTATATTTTCATTGATCAATGTCTAACCGATAGTTTTTGAGTTATCCTTAATAATTTATATTGAAGTCGGTTGTACAAAATTTTTAATTTTAGCCACTTATACCTATTTTTGGCGCCAAACATCTCCTGTAGTAACACAACAGTGCGTGAAGCATATAGAGATTAGAGAGTCAGTACTCGTATAACTATAGGTTTTAGTTTTGAGAGCTGACAACACATTTGTTGACTTTGTTTGAACTTGACTGCAGTCCATGGACTGCAGTTACCACTTACCATCAAGCGGAATGTCATTTCAGTTTTATAAAAAAAGATATTTTTGTAATGATGGCAATAAGGGCTAATAATTTTCTGCTCACCAGATGTCGCTAGTTGACAATGAGGTAAAGTTTTTTGTTACACAATGTAATTTAATTGAGAAGCTGTTTTTTAATAAAAGTTTATCAGTTTCTAGAGTGTTATATTAATACACAAAACAATGCGTTAGTGGTTTGCTCTTTAATTTTTTTGCACTTTTTTAACTTTATTTTTTTTCTACTATTATGAATATCTATGGTTTGTATATTTATTTATGTCATTAATATAAAACATAGCTAATAGTACCGAAAGAACAATAACTTTTACATTTTCCTATGAACTATGTCTTCTAACTTCCTCGCTATGAACTATGCCAAATATTATACCTCACTTTCTAGTGGCGCCGCCCTGGTGGCAGAAAAAGTCGTGGATACCCTCATTGGGTTGCCGGTAGCAAACGAGTATAATAATGTTTGTATTAACTAGTGTAGTCTAGTATTAATTTATGAAAGCAATGGAAGAACTGCGTCATATAGTTCTCTATATTTTTCACATTCTTGTATTTCAGAGTTGACTAACGCCTGGTTGGTGCATGAAATATAATTTATAAAATTAATACTGGTTGCCTATCATTTCTTTATAATTTAAATATCGTTCTCTCTCTTTCTTTGTATCGTTACTCCCAGAGTATTTTTCCTGTATTGTGGAGGCAGTTTACATTACATACATACATTTGGTAAACATCTAGACCCGGAACAATTATTTGTAGGTTGTACAAATACTTGTTCGTGTGGGATTCGAACTCGAGCCCCTGAACTCAGCAACATAAAAACGATATACTTACATAGTCTGTTTAGTTTTTTTTGTTTTAGATTTCATCTATGCTTTAATATTTAAGAGTAAAGCCATACGAATGAAAGACTCCCTAATGATCTTTCTTTTAATTTTATCTTAAATGTTTATCGGAGACTTTCGACTAAATTTAGCAAGTTGTAAATCTATTTTTAGCTGTTTAACGATCTCCGTATCCCAAGCTCGGACGAACTTTGGTCCATTTTTCTACATAAGGAAGGGTCCGGACCGGACTGCATTCTTTTACATATACGGCCTAACGAGATTGATAGCCTGAGACTAAACAAACTGCGAACGCTTGTATGAAGTGATTTCGTAATTTATCCGTTCATTGATTATGGACTGTTCTTTCTTTACTCAAAATAAAAGTAAGTAAAATTACAGCCTATATATACGTCCCACTGCAGGGCGTAGGCCTTCTCTCACTTCTAAGAGGGTTTTAGCGCAAGGAAGTATCCGCCGCGCTGCCCCAATGCGTGCTGGCGGACTTCACTCAGACATGTAGTTTTCCCCACGATTTTTTCTTTCACCGCCTAGCACGTGGTACATCAGCATTTAAAGTTGCAACTAACAATTTCATTGATGCCGGCTGGAATTGAACCCGGGTCGTTCGCGTACTGTGAAATTTACAGCGAGCGTGAAGCCTATTACTAATACTACAACGGCTTCCTTTTTTGAAGTCAGTTAAAAATATTCGAATCGATTCCCTGCACGTCAAGATAAAGAGCAACGATGAAAGTAAACGCAATGCCTCCTTGGAAACAATAAATGCCTTAACTGCACTTTTTAACCTATACAATTACCAGTTCTTTTACCAACACAATAAGGACGATGTTCGCAAAGCATCGTCTAGGAATTGCTACAACGAACTTTCGAGGGACCACGTGAGAGTATTTCAAAACAGTTGCATACCGACTGAGTCAGAAAACGTCGAACAATATGAAGAACCAAATATAGTCACTGCTAGGTAGGGCCGTTTAAGCATAGAAGTCCATCTGTTTTTTTTAGCACCTTTTTATATAGATCGCTGTGTTCTAACGTCAAGGGTAAAAAGTCAGGTTAAAAGTTGACTTTAAGGCCGGAATTCAGAAACAATCTCAAATTTAAAGTAAACATTTAAAATGTCAAAAGGAGACAATCGTTTTTGGGCCCAATAGAAATTTTCACGTAACTTATTTTTATTACACATAAAAATAGATACCAATTCATTATAGTAAACGGCCTAAAGATTTCATGAAAATCTGACGAGAATCATGAAATCTAAAAAAAAAGAGTTGATATCCGTGGTCTGGTTAATGCAATATGAAAAAAAAATTCACGTAATGAAGAACGATTTTCCATCAATTTTAAAGTACTTATAAATGCTGAATGTACCTACATCTTCGTTTTATACTATTTATTGTTGAACAGTGCACTATTTTAACTTATAATTCCGGTGAAAACTAATAGACAATCGCTTTTAGTGTGTTTTTAAGTTATTGTGATATTCATATTTTAAACCTTTAAACTTTTTTTTTTTTTAAAAACGTTACCCCCATGCTAGGATTTTCTCCTGTATCGTGGAGGCAGTTTACAAACACAAATTTCACAAGGACAAACATCCAGACCCGGAATAATCATTTGTAGGCCATACAAATACTTGTTCCGTGCGGGAATCGAACCCGCGCCCCCCAGCGCAGCAACTCATTGCTAAGCCACTGCGCCACGGAGCCGTTAATTTTAATTGTTGATTTCTCAGTATTCCCGTTCGATGCGGTAGAACTAATATTACTATTGTAATCTATAAATTATAAGGAATAAATCGACATGTATTTCATTAAGTTACGCGACAATTTGTGGTGGGCCCATTCTCCACACAAAAAAAAAATTTGTCTCCTTTGTGTAACATAATATTATGGTCTAATACTATTATTATATTGTGATCGTTTAGTCCACCGTGTGGTGGCGGAGTATGAATCTCTACCACCCCATATTGTGCCGTGCGTGTCGTAAAAGGCGACAGAGAGAGAGTTTTACATGGTAGAGCTATGCTGCTGAGTTTTTATCAGGAAGATGCTACTGTCCATTTCCTGTTCAGTTCCTCTTTTTTTATAGGATATAGTGACAAACGAGCACAAATTCCACCTGATGGTAAGTGGTTGCTGTGGCCCATAGACTTCTACATTTATCCTCGTATGCGAATCAAAATGCAGATGCGTTGTCACCCGTGAGGACTGAGATGGAATGCCTCTTTTCCAGTAAAAAGGGTCTCCGGTTCTCTACACTCACCATACGAAACACAGCAGTGTTAAGCTGCTATTTTACGCTGGTATTCTGTGAGAGCGTGGTCCTTCCCCGGTCGAGCCGACGCATTCGTGCTACAACTATACTACTAACATAGCTGCAGCATAACGTAATGAATTATGATAGGAGAGTAATATTCTTTATATTAAACTGAAGTTGCAAACGAACTCGTAGACCACCTGACGGTAAGTGGCTCCTGTAGTCCAGGGACACATGCTCTGGAATGCTCCACAGCAGATCATTATACTGGCTCACT